CAGTTATACAATATTGTACTCAGTAGAAACCCTATAAGACATAAAATTGAATGAGGTTTTAACCTTTAAAAAAGATCTCCATTTCATTATTAAAATACACTTTCATACAGAAAAATTCATTTTTAATACAACTAACAAATGTTTGCACATGTGTCTCTAATCTCTCTATATCTAATTATTACTAGTCACAGTCAGTTACTTTCTGAGATCCTTGGCACCTGAGCATGGCTATAAAGTTATCAGGTAGATTTCAATGGTAATTTTTTTCAGATCTACTAATTAACATGAAGCAAAGTTTTATGCTTTCTCCTCAAATATAACTCATTTTTTATTGATTGATTTTGTGTGTGTATATTTCATGCAGAACATCCCACACAATCTTATGCATCTATATACCCACATCCCAAGTAACACCCTCCCACGCCCCCACCCCTGCTGAAGCCCATATACTCTGTCATCCCTGTCACTGTCCACTGTGTTGTCAGTGCCCCCAGCTGTTCCCCAGTGCTAGTCCATCTGCTGAATCTAGTCAGCCTATCTAAAGTTCCTTGTTTTAGGAAGATCAGCTCTTCCTCATCTAGCAGCAAGCTGTTGCCAATATTCCTTTAGATAAGATTGGGGTTTGATGTTCATTTTCCCAGCCCTATGCTGGGTTACTGTCTTGGAGTCTCTTGGGCCACCCTGGACAACAACTCAAAGGAACGTATCTCCTGTCTGGCATTGTTACTTGTTATGTAGCCTTTAGCTATACACATGGACTCTTAAAGAATTATGTTGATCCCTTTAATCTTTGGTTATACTTTCCTTTTGGGTATTTAAGACCATGAAGTTGGCCCAGATAAACCAATTTATTTTTACTCTTAAGGTCATTTGAGGATCTGTTCCTCAGGGGTCACATGGGCTTGGGAGGAGCCCCTGGCTCTTTTCCTTTACAAATTCCATCTATGTGAAGATCAGTCAAAGGTCCTGCTCGACCATGGATGGCTTCACTTGGAATCATGGAGGAAATGTTACCTTTGTGTTGACCCTCCTCTTTATAGACTGGACACTGGCTCACATCTGTCTGGTGGGATCTCCATGGCCTGCTTGATCAAGAGGACAGGAGACTCACCACAGTTACAGGACATTTTGAGAGATGCTCCATAGTCCCCTGGAACTTAGTCGACCTTGGAGGGCAAGGAGCAAAAACTGTCCTTTAATTCTCTCTGACCAAATTAGCATAGGCCTCAAAGTATGTCTGTTAAATATCCAAGAAGGTTAGTTCCACCAGTCTGGTATTTTTAATTACCATGTGCTATATAGACAAAGCTTGGGCAAAGATCAAAGGTTCTCAGATAAACCTTACTAGATATGTATTATGTTCCTTGAGCTAGTTTTATGTATAATTTGTCAGTAGGTTGTTGAACTAATATGGTTCCCTCTGTTTTGCTTTGTTTTTTAATTAGCTAGACATTATTTATCTCTTGCATTGTCTAACCCTTCCACCATGGTTTCCCCATTTAAAGTGCCCCCATTTTCCCCATTTCTCCCTTAATAATACCTTTCTCCTATGGTCCCACCTCTCTTGAGCACCTTCTTTCCCTTTATCCCCAAAGTTCCCTGTATAACCCCCTCCACACACACAAATGAACCTACCATTTGACCCAGTTATACCACTCCTTGGCATATACCCAAAGAAATCCTATTGCAGAGACACTTGTACATCCATGTTTGTTGCTGCTCTTTTCACAATAGCTAAGAGATGGAAGCAACCTAGGTGTCCCTCAATTGATGAGTGGATAATGAAAATGTGGTTCATATATATGATGGAGTTTTACTCAGCAGTAAAGAAAGATGAAATCATGAAATTTGCAGGTAAATGGATGGAACTAGAAACTGTTATACTAAGTGAAGTAACACAGACTCAGAAAAACAAACGACATATGTTCTCCCTCATATGTGGATCCTAGCACCAAATCTTTATCAGTGAGAATATATCCAGTTATAACTATAGGACCCAGGATAATGGAAAGGAACCAGGGAAGTAAAGGAAAAGAAAGATGAAAGAAAACAATAGGAAACAGGCGTTAGTAAGGGAGATATGCACCTTTTGCTGATTTGACTTGGGCTTTCAGGAAAGAATTAGCTTCTGCCTAACCAAAGAGCACTATGCGTCTTTCCAATTTCCTTCCGAGACTCTGAGAACAGAGTTCTCTCTCAGAGGCAGTGTGAGGCCCTTCACACTTTCTGAGTGGTTGACTTTCAAAGCTCTTACCATTTGTGTTGTGACACTGACATAAAGAAACATATTTTATGTAGGTGTCTTCATGAAGTGCTCTCGGGGTACTGGACAACTTCATCCTAAAAATCAGGTCAAGTATAAGGCACAGTCAGATCATGCTGTGCATGTGCTGTAGGCTGGAGAGAGTAACTTCTGGGCCTGGCCACTGTGGCTCACACTGCAGTTGGCTCAGGAAGTGGACTTAACCCCTTGGGTCCACTCACACTGGCTTAGGACTGTGGCAATTTTTGGCAGTTGGTAGAGAGACCACCAGCAGTTTGTGATGGGCTTGCTACACAACAGCTTCCACAGTGTCTGGAGGTCTCCTCCAGACCTGCTCCAGTTGGTTCACCCCGACTGAGGGGCAGCTAGATAGATGTGGAAGCTGAAAGCCCTTGGGGTCCACCTCACTTCTCTAAAACCTTCAAAATACTTGAGTCCTTAAGATTAGGTCACAGCATGTCACATTTAGAACTTTAGAACTGACGAGAGGATACAGTACTGAGAAAGGTGAGCCTTCCTGCCCTCATTTTCCCTGGCCCCCACATCTTTGCCCTTCATTGTGAGAGATGGGCTAGACACAGGCTTTCCTTCTACACTGTCCCACGGAAGACTTTACTTTGCCTCAGGATTTTTGCACATTTGACCAACAGGAACGGAAAGAACACCAAAAGGAATTCTCCAGTGTTTTTTTGTAATGGCATTTATAAGCACCAAAATTTGGACCCAGAAAAGGGAAAATTAAGACCAAAGAAAAATTAAAAATGGAAAACTGGCATCCCCACAGGAAATAATTAAGGCATCATTAGATTATTTAACCTGCTCGAGGACATGGACAAATTGTAATCACTTTTAGCTATTTTCCAGGATCATGATTTTTCATCTGTAAAGTAAGTCTTCTATACATTTCATTTCAGCAGAAATCCTTTCAGCTCCATCTGATGACCAGTAATTCCAGTTCCAAGCAACCTGGAGTCTCTGGGTTAGTGTTTAGTTTTGGAAAGTGCTAGATACTCTGTGATTAATAGCAGTGGAATTTTAGTCATCGAAAAACAAGGTTTCAAAGGAATACCTATTGGCTTTCATACCATATTTATGACCAGAAGACCTAATGACTGCTCTGGAAAGCACATTGCACTTAATGACCAAAGAGAACCCAGAAATTAAAATATCAGGCATTTTTAAAAATGATTTAAAAGAAATGGCAAATCTTAGTGTCCATTTGGTATGCATTCACGGCTCCTCCAGTCAGTCCCAGGAAAGGTTCTAAGTAAAACAGATGCTTGCTCATGGAATTCTAGTAAAGTGGTAGCTCACTTAAGAATAGTTTATTACTGCAGGTAAAATGAAAAGCTTTGCCTCATAGTACTCAGCAATGACTATCAGAATACAAATGCCTGGAAAAGATATTACGGTAGAGCCCTTGTGGAAAGAAAGCATCATCTTTAGTGAACGAAGAGAGGGCATGTCCAGGATACTTCTGCTACCAAAAGAAAGGAAGGTGATAACCAAGCTAAAAGGGGAACTATACGCAGATATTGTGTTGTTTCCTAATGGGAATATTGGTTTGGGTTGATCAAATAAATCCCAAGGTTTCATTTTAGTGATATATTTCTCACACAATGGCTGATTCACATGCTTATTTATCCATTTCCCTTTGATCCCTGAAGGCTTGTATTTGTCTCAGTCTTTCTTTAATCTGACCACCAATTATAATAAAATTAAGGAAGATGTGGATTCAGTAAGGTCAGGAGCCCACCCCCAGCTCCATTTCCAATGCTATCAAATCTGGTTCTTAGAGTCTTCTTTGCAAGTCTAGCTCCTTGTTTAAAGAAAGGAAAAACAAAGATAAGGTGGCTTGAGGGAGACAGTACCCTCCTCAGTTGATGAGTTATCAGCTTATGTTACACAGAATCCTGTGGAGAAATTTGTGAACAATTGGAAGAGTTTACCAGAACTGACCAGTTGTGAAATTTGGCACTCAAGTGTTTGTTTCTTAATGTGAGAGGATTAACCCTTGAATTGTGAGTCTCCCGTGTGAGGAGAAAGAAAATGTGTTCCCTTAAGTCCAATACCTATAGAGGAAAGACAGCTCTTGAAGACAAAGTTAACATCCTCTGTCTTTCCTTCTCTTTCCTTACCATCATGACATACATCTTGAGTGAATCCTCGCCCCCATCACCCCCGAGAGTGTGTGTGTGTGTGTGTGTATCTGTGTGTGTCTGTGTGTCTGCATGTCTGTGTGTCTGTGTCCTCAAGGCCCAGACTTTTGCTTAATGTATCCTTTTAGTTTTTTCTCATCTGCTTCTCTCAGAAACACATGGCGTGTCTGTTTGCGTGTCTGTTCTGTCCCAGCACAATGAAGATGCTCAGCAAATGTTAGGGGACTCTGTTTTTTCTTCTAATGACAATGAGAAAGAATCCAGACAAAGAATGAATTGTTTTGCCAGTACAGCTACCAGTAAGTCTCAAACAACAGCTAAACCATCAGCTAATGACCCCCTGGGTCCCAGCCTTTCACTCGGGCCTTCTAAAATACACAAACCCAAAGTGAAGGCAAGACACCATTAGCAACACATTATGCAAACAAACACTGGACATGTTGCTCTTCCTGGTTGCTGACCACCTGCCTCCCCATTCTACCAGGCGGGTAGCTTATATGGGGTGGCCTGTCTGCAGTCTTGCAGAGTGAGCCTGTCCCTTGGACAAGTCTAATCTCTGTCTCTGGGCCCCTGGCAGCATGCAGTTCCTTGTACTTCAGCTACTTGTGTTCCTGCCTCTAGGGAAGGCTGACCAGTGCCTGGAGGGCTACCAAAGTCAGAGCTCTGTTTCCTTTATGCCCCCAGAAAGGAATCGCAGAGATCTCCATGTGGGCAACCACGAAGAGGCTGAGGATAAGCCAGATCTGTTTGTGGCAGTGCCACACCTCATAGGCTCCAGCCTGGCCAGGGAAGGCCAGAGGCAGAGAGAGAAGATGCTGTCCAGGCTTGGCAGGCTCTGGAAGAAGCCTGAGAGAGAATTGCACCCAACAGAGGATGTGGAGAGCGAGCACGTCCCACCGGGGACCCAGGCCAACATTGAGTCGAGGGACGGGAGGAAAGTGGAGAAATCCCCTCTTCGAGAAGAAGCCAAGAAGTCCTGGCACCACTTCATGTTCCGAAAGGGCCCTGCTTCTCAGGGCATCATCTTGCCCATCAAAAGCCACGAAATACATTGGGAGACGTGTAGGACGGTGCCCTTCAGCCAGGTATGCTTTCTGGAGTGAGAGCAGACAGTCTGCAGGAGTGGGGGACAGCTGGGACAGATGAAGAGAGGCAGGAAGAGGCTGTCAGGGGCCTGAGCCTTGTCTAGTTCCAGACTTGGTCCTGGGGCATTCGCTGTAGGGTTTAGCAGAGTGAGATCATATTTCCCACAGCTCCCTCACTTCTCCATTGTTTCTTGGCATGCTGGAAATGCTGTATGAACAGAATTGTTCCATGTATTTATTTTTATTGGGAGTGATCTGTCCAGAGATGTAAGAGTACATTCTCGGGCAACTGGGCATTGGGAGCAATCATGGGAACCATCTTGCATCTTACCTCTCTGCCACCATCTGGTCTGCCACCGTGATGCAGACCAGCAGGTAAAACCTAGCTGTGATGCACTGCATCTGCCAGATGCCTTGCCTATTCCTGATGCTCATACTCACCACTTTGTAGGTTTATGGAACTTCCTTTGGTAGTTGCTGAAGCTATTCAGTGCCTAAAACACTGCTGCAGAAACTCAGTCTGGAGACTCACTATATCGTTGTCTTGGGATTGTGAAAGGAAAACATAGTTTATTTTTCTCATAGGCTTTCAAAAAATAATCTTGATGTGAAATCACATCTCTTTCCTTACCCTACGTTTGAAGTTGTGTTGGCTGGTTGACAGTTATGCCCAATTCTGCGCTCTGAGGACAAAGGAGCTTATCTTATTTTCTCTAGTCCTGTCAATCCCCACATTCCAAATGTTAAATTAAAACAGAGAAAATGCATCATGAAGACTGAACCAGAAGCAGTGCAGGGTAGAGTAAAAATTTTACAGTCCGGTAACACCACTCAATTAAGCAGGCAGTATTCTGAGGCAATTGACTGTGCAAGGCCATTAAGTATTCTGCCTGGAAAGGCAAGGATATGTAGCAATGACAAGTCAATCATCAAGTCATCAAGCAACAATGTCTGCTTTGCTGGCCCGCGTGCAATTAGAAAATGAGGACTCGGGCAATCAAGTTTCCTTTGAAATTCTTATTTTGAATTATATTGCTAGTTAAAATAAAGGTGTTTGGCTCGGATATTTTCAAAGATACATAAAACTAGGTGTATGTGGTCATGAGAAAGAGCAAAGGTGATATAATATAGGCATACATATTGTAACTCTGCTGCATAGAACGTCATAGATTTGGGTGTATCACAGGTCATGTAAAACAGAATTAAATTCAGAATGTTCTGGCCTGTTCTATAATTAGTTGACCAGTATTTATTGAGGAGCTACTATGCACAGTACACTGTGAGATGTGAGACCCAGTGTTGAAATGGTAGGATTGCAGTTAGGATTTTTCCCAATTGTTTATATTCAACTAGATAAAATTTCTTAAAGGTGTAGTGTTAGTAAGAATTACTTTCATGTTAATTTGGGGGTTTCCTAGAAGTTAACTTAGTAAATTAATAAAGAAAGCTTAACCGAGGTGGCTTTATCCCTAAAGGATTCCATCACTTGAACATCACAAAATGTCTCCCTAACTGGAGAGCTTGGAGAATTTTATTCTAAATCATTTGTGTTATGAAATGCTTTGGGATAACCTAATGTGTCTACCTTTTAGACAATCACCCACGAGAACTGTGAAAAAGTTGTTGTGCAGAACAATCTCTGCTTTGGGAAATGCGGCTCCATTCACCTTCCTGGAGCTGGGGTACATCTCCACACCTTTTGCTCCCACTGCTCCCCTACCAAGTTCACCACGATGCACTTGAGGCTGAACTGCACCAGCCTGGCTCCTGTGGTCAAGATGGTGATGCAGGTGGAAGAATGCCAGTGCATGGCGAAGACAGAGCATGGAGAGGGCCGCTTCCTACAGGCTGCCTCCCAGGATTCCTTCATCCCCGGAGTGGCAACTTGAAAAGCAAACCTCAGGAGCAAAAGTGATGATTGTTCAATCTGTAAATATTAAGTGGGTACACAAAGTTTATAAGGAAAACTGTCTTACTTGATATTGAAATGGACAGGTGGAGTCTCTCTCTCTCTCTCTCTCTCTCTCTCTCTCTCTCTCTCTCTCTCTCTCTCTCTTTTGTTTTAGAACAGAATCTTAAGTAACCCAGGCTGGCCTCAAACTTGCTATGTATCTAAAGATAACTTTGAATCTGCTTTCTGAGTGCTAGGATTACAGGCACATGCCACAGCATGCGCTAAGTTAGGGTGTCTTAAAAATGGATTTTGTATACTTTGAAGCTGCCTTTGAGGCTCAGGAAGTGTTTTGATTCTATTGGATGGTTCTTTCCATAGATGTGGGAAGCAACTTTCTTGATGGTCTACCTTTTCCTTTCCTTTTTATTATCTCCATATGAAGTTCTCACTGCTGGTTGTGTGACTTAGAAGAAGGAGCATTGATGCAGTTTTTGTAGGGAAGGGGATCAGTCACTGGTAGCCAAACCTGTACCTGGATTAGGAGGAAGGAAAAAATGCATGATCAGTATTAGATTCAAAGGTCATTCACAAAAGTAAGACACTCAGTAGGGCTTAAACTAACTATATTGCAAATCATTTTAAATTGAAACAATTTATGTGCCTTTAGATCAGGTTGCAAGATAGGCTTCTGTGTTTGGGTTTTTTTTTTACTATTGTATAAAAGAATATATGACAAATTCAGTTCTGCAGATGCAAAGTCAAGTTCTGAATGTATTCTGAATATTGTAATGTATTAAATATTACTGTATGAAAAATTCTTGGAAATAATGTGGACTGTAAATGTCTTACATCTTCCTTTTTTGTGTGTTTTGTCTGGCTCCTAACTTAAAGGAACTATGGGAAGATCACCAAGTAAGAAACATTTCTGAAATGGCTTCATGGGTGTATGACACTGACCACGAGTTTCTTGTGATTGCCCAAGCAGCCTTCTGTGCAAACCATTCGATCACTGCCTTTCGGCACTTGCTGTCCCCTGCCTGTGTTTATTTGTCAGGCTTGACTTTCCCCAGCCAGATTACTTTTTCATAGTAAGTTTTCAAAAACTCATTTAAAAATTACTTGATTTGGATCCCTTTATTTTCAGTGTACACACAAATGCTTCCCAGAGTAATGACTAATTATGTTTTAAAGAAATTAATTTATATTTTAATTCCATTTCTTTTAAATCACCATCTAACATGGTGTTCTGAAGAAGCAAATGCATTTATAGTTAGTGTGTATTATGAAACACATCAATGTAATAGAATATGAGCTAGAGAGATACACATGTGGCATTTACAACAGAGTATATTATACCCTTTGGTGGTCAAAGACAACCTAATTGGCCAAGATGTGGTCATAAGGATAAAATTGTTAAGCATTAATGATATCCCAGCTGGTCAATATATTTTGGTGCCAAAAGCTATTGAGCAGCTGTCTAGTGTGCAACTGTCTAACCCTGATTATATAAACCCGTCTCTGCCAATTGGGGTCTCCTTCTCCTCCCCGCATCCTTGCAAATCCCTTTTATCTATACTTGCAAATAGACTCTGTAGCCCAAGCTCCAAACAATTATTAGTTTTATTCAAACTCTGGCCTGCCCTTTCCTTGCATGTAAACTCCAGATGGGCTAGCTGTTAGTGGGGTCAGAGCTTATATTCATAAAGTAATATGCGTGAACTTCATAAAAGTGCTCATTCACAAATTTTTTGCTTACAAAAAAAAGCAGTTTCTGACGGCCCAATGTATAATATATGGGAACATAAGAAACTCAAAGAAAATACATGAATGGTGAACATCCATTGAGTTTCAGATTGTGGGCAGTGTCTTTCTGAAAGGCATCAATGTAGTCCTCACAAAAACTGTATAATCACCTAGCTCATGGGAAGAAAAGTCACTTTTGTAAGTTTAAGCAACTTCTCTAAAATCTCATGGAGCCTATTTTCTTTTCCTTTTATAGGCTTTACACTAGATTTACTTATGGCTGCATTTGGAAATATATATGTATATCTTCAGTTTTTTTGAGAATTTCATACATGATTGCTGTACTTCCATCATTTCCATGCCTCCTTCTCCCTCCTCGTGTTTGGGCATTTTTATAGGCTACTTAGTTTACTATAAAAGATTATAACACAACATCCCTTCAGTGAGACTCTGGCCTAAAAGCTGCTTTCCTCACAGCTACTCTAACCACAGTAAACATGGAAACTTTCCATTTACAGTGCTGACTGGTGATCTACGCAGGGAACCCTTCAAAAACTACAGTCAAGAATCCACCCAACTTTTGAGCAATATGAGTGTGATGGAGGTCTTCTGGCCCATTTGCTTGACATTCAGAATATAGTCTCAGTTTGTATTAAAATGGTTACTCTTGGGACTAGAGAGATGGCTCAGTGGTTAAGAGTGCTTGCTGCTCTGGCAGAGGACCTGAATTTGGTTCTGAGCACCTGCAACCTGTAACTTCAGCTCTGGGACTGTGATAGCCTCTTCTGGCCTCCTTGGCACTTGTATACATACACACAGATAAGAGACACACACATAAATAAAAATAAAATAAATCTTTAAAAAGTCACTCATTCTCCATCAGTTTGCTTTATACTCACCGGTCTCCTATTCTACACTTCTCACCTAGCTGTTCTGAAGCGCATTGATGCCATCCCTGAAAGAGAACTCATCCCTGGGCCAGGTTCCTGTTAGACATTGCTTCACTACAAATGCCTTCATATATCTTGGTTTCATTTTCCTCTCTTAAAAAAATAAGGTTTGCAGCTGGGGTAAAGACTCACACAGCAAAGTGCCCACCACACAAGAATGGAGACCTGAGTTTAGATTCCAATACCCAAGTAAAAGCCGAGTGTGGTGGTGCATGTCTGTAACCCCAGCACTAGGGAAACAGAGACAGGGTGGTTCCCGGAGCTGATTGGCCAGTCAGTCTCATAGAATCATTGAGTTCCAAGTTCAGTGAGAGACATTCTCAAAAAATAAAATGGAGATCAAGGAAGACACCAGACGTCGACCTCTGGTCTCTACACATATGCATACATACACTCACACTCATATATACATATACCACACAGACACACACACACACAGACACACACACACACAGACACACACACACACAGACACACACACACACACACACACACACACACACACATGAACATTAAAACAATAAGAAAAAGCTTGGTAAAAATTACCCTCAAATTGTGATGATGTTCAAAAGGAGGTAACAGCACTCCAAAAGACTTCAGATGCTTTAAAACAGTAAGGGGATAATTTACTCTTTTCTGATTATATTTTCATTTTAAATATTGCTTTTAGAAATATAGAAGACAGAGAAAAATACAAAAAACAAACAAACAAACTTCCATCATCAAAATAGTTAACATCTTGTCTTTTTCCACATTTATTCTATGTTTTAAATATGTAGACCCAGGGCTGGAGAGATGACACAGTGGTTAAGAGCACATATTGCTCCTGTAGAGAATTCAAGTTCAGTTCCCAGCACCCACCCATACACGCATACACATATAATTAAAAATAATGAAAACAAATCTAAAAGTAAATAAACATATAGACCCATATCAGACAGAGCTAAATTCCATCTTATCCCCCCACTGAGTCTTGTCCCTCAATCTCTGACATTCTATGCTCTACCCCCAAAGACTCTTGTTTAACTTTGGATATCCTCTGATATTGTGGCAAGTTTACATACACATTGCTAAGTAACATGTAGTATTATTTTTGTGCATACATTTACATACACATTGCTAAGTAACATGTACTATTATTTTGTGCATATGTTTACATACACATTGCTAAGCAACATGTACTATTATTTTTGTGCATACGTTTACATACACATTGCTAAGTAACACGTAGTATTATTTTTGTACATACATTCTATTGTTCTATTCAGCAGGGGTGCCCCAATTATGTGAATGATGCATGCTAAAGGAATACGAATCAGAGAGAATCCAGCTCTTGTAGAGCTTCCAATCCTGTGGTGGGGTGAGGCAAAGAATTATTTAAAAAATCAAACAACTGGAAAGGAAGAATAGCAGCCAGCTATAAGCGATATGCACAGCAATGTGTTAGAGCTTTATTGCTTTAGATTGAGGTTTTCTGCAAAGGGGACCTTAAAGCTGTGCCCTTCTAATGACTGACATGATTTTCTCCTCCATTGTTCTACGGCAGTTTCTTCTGTACACAGGATTCTGCCTTGTTTTTCCAACAGCTTTTAGAGGTTTTCCCTATGTTTCATCTATATTTTCAAAAGCTGGCATTCTGTATTTTCTGTGGAGAGTAGTTAAGTTAGCTTTGAGAATTTGTTTTCTCAGTGTATACTTAGTTTTAGCATTTAGTGATACAAATATCTTTTCACACACTACAAGCACTTGCTGGTAGACCCATCTCTGCTCCATTTCCTTTTGGTGTCTGTACACTGTGCTGCAGCAGCCACTTTCTGGAATAATACGGCAAGACAAAGAGAGGGCGAGATGGTGAACTTATTCTTGAAGACAGTCCGAGTAGTATCCTACTAATTACCTGGAGTGAGCCATACGGAAATCCTGTTTCTGATGGTGTTTCAGATTATTAATATTAGTAACATTATTTTTGAGACAGGACCTCATCTATCCCTGGCTGACCTAGAACTCACTACACAGCTGAGGGTGACTGAGAACTTGTGATCGATCATCCTGCCCCCATCTCCCAAGTGCTAAGGTCATAGATATACACCATCAGAACCAGTTTTTGGTGTTTGGAATTATAATCTTCTACCAAGGTATTTTCTTTGATCTGTTAACTGAATTTCTAATTAAGCCTGTAATTTAATCTCTTAATTTTGATAATTTATTCTATGTAAGAAACTGTAATAAGAACATTAAGATGTGGCTGGTTTTGGTGGCACATGACTTTAATCCCAGCACTTGGCAGACAGAGGTAGGTAGA